GAACATTGGGAATCCATGGCCCTTCCCATACACCATTTTCAGGTCTAAACAAAAATGATTCAGAGATATTTGAGCCTCTTCCTCTCCACCATGTGAGCAGAAGGATGAAGATGTGAAAATACGGCAGCTTCCTTTCCCATCTCATATGCAGCCATAGTAAGTTCCTTACAGAAAAGTACATGACATGACTTCTAAGATAATCAGACACCAATTAGTAACAATTACCAAATATTAACACTAATTATTGAATGCGTGCTTCTTCAAAATTTGCTTGCAATGTTTAGGTCTCAAAGAAAGGTCTCCGTGCTCTGTATTCTGGACGTGCTGCACATGCAAGCGGATGCCTTGCAGTCACCGTTCTGCGAACCTGGCTAGCTGGGTTCAACTGGGCGAGGGGACGGCCCCAGGGCATTGGCATCTCTGGAAGGATCTCAGCAGAGGTCTTTCAGCCCTGTTTTCCTTTTCTTAAATAAAACAAGCCCCTGAGAAACACATTGCCCCTAAACATCTAAAAATTAAGACGCTAGCTTGGAAAGCCTTCAACAGGAGGAAAGTGAAGGACCATAGTTGCAAAAATCCAGGTTCATTTTTCATTTAGCAAACCTGTTGCTGCACTTGCATCTTTGCTAAACACGCTCATCATCGAGCGCTCGGGTACTCCACTAGGCTAAAAAGGACTTGGCTGGCCAGGAACAGGCAGCCATAATTGCCTTCCCAATTATTGGTTCCACAAACAATGAGTCTAAAATGAACTAAACCAATTATCACATTTTCTCGCGGCGACGTACGTGCCTGGCCGTGCAAGCGGGAAGGGTGCCTGCCAGGCAGCGCGCTGCTCTCGCCTCTCCTGCGGCGAAAGCAGCGGGAGCGGTGCCCGATGCCAACGGGGCAAGCTGTGGCCACACACAGGACAGGAAAGGAACTGGAAATGTATGCCCTGGGCTGGTCAGGGAGCACTGATGGACAGAAGTGGAGGATACGCCTAGGTCTCGCTGGCCACCTCTGGGGAAGTTTGAAAAATCTGGAATTGGAGATAAAAACAAGTGTGCTAATGTAGGGTAGCAGGGAAGTTCAAACAAACTTTTTTGTTCTTATTTCTATTACGTTACTGATTGTAATAACAAGCTGTAATTAGCGCGTGCCATCAAATCAGGTGTCTTACTGCACTGGCTGAAGCTCTGAAACCTCACGTCAGGGTATTTTCTATGGTATGCCTATGAACACCTACGAAATGGTGATTTTTCCTACTTGTAAGAGATGCAAAAAGGGTCCCAGAAGCCAACAGGAAAGCACCTATTGTCGTTGCTGCCTCTAATTTTGATTCTGTCTACATTAAGAAGTTGTACACAACAACTTAAGTTTTAAGTAGCTTAATACAGCCTTATGTATGGACTGTCTTATGGACAGAAATAACAATCTGGCCCATATTTTCCAAATTTTATGTGCAAATAAAATATCTTTAATTTCAACTATTTCAAGACCATTGCTGAAGATGTATGTGAAACTCCACCTGTTTCTCTTTTCATTTGCTGGTTGGTTGGGATCGGTAAGGATGGCAGTGGTTCAAACCAGAAGGGAGAAATACCATCACTCCTCCTATCATCTCATTTAGGATCAAGCAAGAAGAGCTCCCAAAAATCAGACCATACAAGAGGCAGTGGGGAATTCCCCACGCTTACTAGAAGATTTTGGAAATGTTGCCTCACTGCTCCTGAGTAAGAAACCCTTGATCAATTCATCTACATTTGGAAGCCCTCCTCCTCTGTCGGGATAGAGATATATAGGAGAGTATGTCTACTGAGAAGAAAAACATACTAGCTTTATTTTCAAGATCTCTTGCAAATAAGGTACAGAGAGATGCGAGATCTCTAAGGTTAGAAGCGACTGTCTGACTTTGGAAGAAGGCAGCCAAGATGAGATGCTGCAGATCCTAGATCACTTAAACGGGTATGGAAATGTAATCTATTTGCCTGAGCATACTGGGAATAGACTTTGCTCTTTTTTGTTTGTTTAAATTATGGGATTTCAGTTAAATTAAACCAAGGTACTTCACAGACGTATCCAACTGTTGTAACTTCCGAATGAAACAGGCACTGTGAATGAAAGCTTCAAGGGCCAGTGCTGATCCCTGAAGCTGAGAGTCTGGAGGAGATACTACAAGATCAGAATTAAGTGCGCATCCTTATCTCCTCTAACTGATCTCAATCCTGGAAGTAGAAAGCCTGGTCCTTCAGAGGAGGTGAAGAAGCAAGCAGCATTGCCCCCCCCATTAAGGGATTCTCCCAAATCTATGTTCAGCTCCAGACAAAAATATTTAGCAGCTTTCCTGTTCAGAGTAGGAGAGGTGCCAAAAAGGGGGTTTATTTTTGGGTCTGACTATGCAGAGAAGTGGTACCACAGAGTTTCACCTCATTATCCCCAGAAGCTAACACTAGTAGAAACCTCCAGAGGCCAAACGTGACCTTCTCTTCCTCGGCCACTCCAGAAACCATGCCTCTATGAAACCACTAGAGGGATGCAAGAATGTCTTATGGGAGAAGAGCCTTCACAAAGAACCCAAAGAAAAACCAAGCCCAAAGTCAAGCACAGCCTAACCAGTCAAATGGTTGCTGTCCTCTAGGAGAAAGGCTTGCTCCCTTACTTGCTTTCCTCTTCCTCCCTATGCAGGCCCTAGCTGTGATATCCCATCTTTTCCTCTGCACTATCAAGATGCTTGACAAGCCTTTCCCCAAGTCACCTTAATTTATGGAGGCTACAGAGCCTACAGGCTCTCTGCTGCATGTGTTTCTGGCTGTTTCAGTAGCCCACAAAAGCACACAACGAATTCTGTCACGAGCTAGTGCATGGCTGGGAGCTGGAGGAAGGATGGAGAGGGGAACACTTTCCCCATTTCGGAACCAATGAAACATTAAGTCATCTCACTATGGCTCCACAAACACTGTTTGGTTTTACCCAGTGCGCTGACACAAAGCACACTGTGCTGCAAAGGCTGCTTCTCCAGCAGAGGGACCTACTAGCACAAAAAGAGAAACACCTGCAAGACCAACCACTTCTCTCCTGCTGTAAGAAAGTAAGAAGAATCGTCTGGAATAGTGGTGGCTACGCATGTTGAAACAAAATATCACCGTAAATCCTTAGCAACCGCCAGTTCACCCTTATTCATTTTTCTACTTTTTCCATATAGCTCTGTATGCCAAATGTGGACCACTTTCCATGACTTTATGAACCACGAGTTACAGAGGAACCACCACTAACCTAGACCTAAGAGCAGCAAGAACTGCATCACAGTGTTCTCTTTAGAAGTATTTCAAAGTAGAAAAATCAGATTTTATTTTTTTTTCCCCTTTGGCAGTACTTAGATTTGTCACCATTACATCAAAAAAAAAAAAGAGATGTTGAAAAATATTTGGTCAAAAGCATTTTTGATCCAAAGAGACTTCTTTCTGCCATTTCAAAGGGATGTGCATGTATACATAAGAGATCAGGTTGGTTCAAACATTTAGCTCGCTAAATTTACAAAGTCCAATTTACAGAAGGTTATTGTACAGTTTTTTTCTCTATGTCAGTATGATGCAGGCATTAGCCACTTTATCTGCTGAAGCAGAAACAAAAGTGTAACTATCCAGTCCTATGACTGCCTGTTATAATTGTACTGCCTATCTAAAGTTCAAGTAACCTTTTATCCCCTATATTAAAAAAATACATTAAAGATGGTAAAATGATGAGCTATATAATTTCACACTTCAGTATCTAATCATTGAGGCGTTTTACCTTCCCTCTGATTTTGCGTTCAGTGATCATAATGATCTTCTACAGACTGAAGCAATACTTAAAATTATTAGGACTGCTGTGGAAAGGCTTCAGGAGACTAATGGATTCACCCTTGTGGTTACATAATTGGGCTGAAATCCCAAGTCTGCTTAAACTAGCAGAACTTTTCTATCAACTTCAGCTGAGTCAGGATTTTATGGAAATTTGATTATTTATGTTTTGCAAAAACACCAATAAAAAAAGATGTGTATTTTTATCCAAAGTTCAAGCAACAGAAGTTGTTCGGTTTCCTGTCTTCATTAGTTTTGTTGTCAAACAACAAATACCACCCACACATGTACTTTTTAATACAATGAGACAAATGTCACCGCAATCATAGTTTGGGATTGGAAAATTTGGCAAAGTCCCAGAGTGGTGAAAGTGATCCCATCACAGATTGTTCAGCAGCAATGATAACATTAAATTCTTATGTGCTCTGTTCGGCAACATACTACACTGAAAAATGTCAACACAAGCCCTTGGAATTGAAGCTGATCACCATAGGAGCAAGTGCATGCTCTTTTTATTCACTTTATATTTCCTGCTCAATTTTTGCAAATAAACACAACCACTAATAAGAGTTTCTCTCTTAGCCTACCATCCTTCTGTAGTCTTTGTGCTAGCCTCAAGCAGCGTGAATAGTAAAGCTGCTCACTATTTTTAGAAATAAGCAATTCAACAGATCACTTAAAAGTATTACAAAGCCAATGGGCACTCTCATTCTGAAGGGGGGGGAGCGTCCTTGCTCAATCCACAGCAGTATTTACAGAGCAGACACCAGCCAGGACCAGCATCCTCCCTACTGCCCAAGCAGTAGGACTTACCACGGGCTCCCATCTTTGAGATGGCCAAGTGGCACAGTCTGAGGCACAGATTTATCCCACAGTCTGCTGAGATGTCTCTGGTGCTCTCTTATCACTGAAATTTCTAATGTAGCAGCTAGGAAAACACAGAGTAGGACTCGAGGGTTCAAAGCTGACTGTTAGGCTTCTCCATAACCTTGGGTCAGAAGCAATGTTATGGAGAGGCATATATGGCCCATGTGTCTGCACTTGTTGTACGACACGTTACAAATGTTAATTACCAGACCATGAAAAGCACTTTCCTAAGACTTAGTTTTCAGATGTAAGAAAGGTCACTTCTGTTTTCAAGAAGAAGGACCCAGGGAACTACTGGCTGATCAGCCTCACCTTGATTCCCAGGAACACAATGGAGCAGCTTATCCTAGAATCCATTTCCACGCATATGAAGGACAAGAAAATCACTGTGAGTAGTCAGCATGGCTTCACCAAGGGGAAGTCATGCTTGGCCAGCCTGACAAATCTCTAGGATGAAATGACTGGCCTGGTAGATGAGAAAAAAGCAGCAGATATTCTCTATCTAGACGTCAAGAAGGCTTTTGATGTCATCTCCCACAACATTCTCACAGACAAGCTACTGATGTATGAGCTGAATCTCCCACAACATTCTCACAGACAAGCTGCTGATGTATGAGCTGAATGACCAGGCAGTGAGGTTGGTTAGAAACTGGCTGAACGGACAGGCCCAGAAGAGTATGATCAGCAGCACAAAGTCTAGTTGGAGGCCAATAAATGGTGGGGTCATTACTGGGTCCAGTCCTGCTCAAAATCTTCATTACTGATCTGGATGATGGTGCAGAGTGCATCCTCAGCAAGTTTGCCGATAACACAAACCAAGGAGGAGCAGCTGATACACCAGATGGACATACTGCCATCCAAAGGGACCTTGACAGACCAGAGAAATTAGCCAACAAGAACTTCATGAAGTTCAAAATGGGAAAATGTAAAGTCCTGCACGTGGGGAGGAGCAACCTCAGACAGCAGTGCATGCTGCAGGCCACCCAGCTGGAAAGCAGCTTTGCAGAAAATGCCCTGGCATCCTGGTGGACACTAAGTTGAACATGAGCCGGAAATTTGCACTTGTGGCAAAGAAGGTGCATGGTGTCCTGGGCTGCAGTAGACAAAGTATTGCCAGCAGGTGGAGGGAGGTGATCCTGCTCCTCTGCTTGGGACTGGGGAGGACACACCTGGAGTGCTGGATCCAGTTCTCAGATCCTCAGTATAGCGGAGACATGGACATACTGGAGGGAGTCCAGCAAAGGGCGACCAGGATGATTAAGGGACTGGAGTGTCTCTCCTATGAGGAGAGGCTGAGAGAGCTGGGACTGTTCAGCCTGGAGAAGGCTCAGGGGGATCTTACAAATGTCTACAAAAACCTAAAGGGAGGGAGCAAAGAGGACAGAGCCAGGCTCTTTTCAATGGTGCCCAGTGACAGGACAAAAGGCAATGGGCAGACACTGAAACACAGAAGGTTCCCTCTAAACATCAGGAAACACTTTTTCACTGTGAGAGGTATACAAAAGGCATATGGACAAGGTCCTGGGCAGCCAAGTCTATGTGTCCCTGCTTCAGCAGGGGGTGGTGGACCAGATGACCTCCAGAGGTCCCTTTCAACCTCAACCATTCTGTGATAAAGACTGAGCAGCACGTGTCTATGATACACACTGCATATCTGAAGGCAGCCAACTGATCACTCTCAGTTGAACTCATTCTAGACTGAAAACAGTCTAACAAATAAGGATCAAAACTGTTAGTGACCTGTACCTCTTTATTCTTACATAGTTACAGTTTTCTAATACAATTCCTTTTAAGGGCAAAGTGGTTATGCTTGGTCTCTGTCCAACAAACAACAACAACAAAATTACATCAAAAATCTTCAGCAAGTTACTCCCATTCATTCGTTATTATGAGTGGAGAAAAAAAAAAAACAAACCCAAACCACTGTCTTACAGTCTTACCACCCTCAGTTCTGCCTCCACTAATCCATACTGTGTATAAACTTTTTTTTAATTTTTTATAAGGAATTAAAAATCCCAAGTCTAGTCGTGCAGTTTCCACACCAACTTCACTAACCAGGTTTTCATTCAAGGACTACAAGGAACTGAATGAAGTTTGAAATTTAAAAACAATGAGGTTTATTAGTTACAAAAACATGGCTAAGCTGCTGGTGTTAATCTGCCTCGCTTTCCTCACCCTTTAGTTGTTCTCCACAGTCCATCAGCATCTATTTGTTATCTCTTTGTTAACTGTGGCCAGCAGGTCAAGGGAGGTGATTCTGCCCCTCTACTCCACTCTTGTGAGACCCCACCTGGAGTACTGCATCCAGCTCTGGAGTCCCCAACATAAGAAAGACATGGACCTGCTGGAGCGTGTCCAGAGGAGAGCCACGAGGATGATCTGAGGGCTGGAGCACCTCTCCTATGAGGAGAGGCTGAGAGAGCTGGGGCTGTTCAGCCTGGAGAAGAGAAGGCTCCAGGGAGATCTTAGTGCGGCCTTCCAGTACCTAAAGGGGGCCTACAGGAGAGCTGGGGAAGGACTTTTTACTAGGGCATGTAGTGATAGGACGAGGGGCAATGGATATAAACTGGAAGAGGGCAGTTTTAGATTAAATATTAGGAAGAAGTTTTTCACTTTGAGGGTGGTGAGGCACTGGAACAGGTTGCCCAGAGAGGTTGTTGAGGCCCCATCCCTGGAGGTGTTGAAGGCCAGGCTGGACGTGGCCTTGGGCAACCTGGTCTGGTGGGAGGTGTCCCTGCCCATGGCAGGGAGGGTGGAACTCTATGATCTTCAAGGTCCTTTCCAACCTAAACCATCCTATGATTCTACTGAGTTACTCTCGAACTCCACAAAAGAGGGTACACTTGTTCTGGGTTCATACACAGCCTAGCCTGAAAGGATCCAGCTCCAAGATCAGAACATGAGTCCTAATGTTATAATAACTATTAGTATTTTAAAAATACTATCTTTACCATTATTAATCTGAGAGGGAATATTTCCACTCGTCAGTTAGTATCCAAGTTTCTAATGTGTCTTTGAGATCTCTCCACCACTAAGTGAATCTGGTATTTGAAGTTTGCATTTTCCAAATTGCCTGTTAAAATATACTCGTATACACATAGGAAAGCTAAATTAAACAGTACTCTGCTAATTAAGAAAAAAAGTAAGTTTGTTTTGCCCAAGATGAGCCTATAATCCACTCAAACAGTAAAGCTGAAAGTTTGATTTAAAGGACAATGAATTCCCACCTGACTTTAGAAAGAATGCAGAGAAAAGGAGCAAAGAGAATTCAACCCAAACAACACATGTAACAGACAACCGATCTGTTCCAGACAAACTCTGTAGATTCTCCTACATCCCATGTATCACAGACATCTCTATATTCAAAACGAAACAAACAAAAGGAAAAACACACACACAAATGAAACAAAACAAAAAAAAACAACCAAAACCAACAAAAAACCCAACCATTATGTCCAAAGGCATATTTTTTACTTGATTAACCTAGACTCCTACCAATATCTGCCATCCCTGCTCCAAAACCTTTAGCACAGACCTGCACGTGCTCCGTACTTTGTACTTGTTGCAAATTCCACTTTGCAGGGTGGGCAAAACTGAGCCCAATGGGCACGAAGTTGCAATCTTTCTTAAGCAGCTTGGGCTTTCATATTCCTCCAGGGTCACAGCACAGCCCTCTGGGTCTTTAGTTTTCAGACTCTTCATCTACTCATTTCTCATTATTTTGGAAACTGCATATTTGCAGAAACAAATCTATCTGCGGGAAATTCATCCTTCTGAACTACCAATAAGTGCTCACACACAAACCAGTATCTGGAATCGATAATTTCACGGATGCTTATTGTAAGGTAAAGGGCAAAGACCACAGAAACATAGTGCTTGAAGAACAGGAGCAGTCCCAATACACAGCTGGGTTAGAAAGGTCTTATGTCCACACTCTGAGCCTGGGGACGGAAAACAGGCTGGAGATGAGGTTGCAGCTCAACTGGGCTGAACAGCAGAAAGCACTAACTCCTTTACTATTTATAACAGTAAAGAAAACATTGCAACATGCTGGCAAGTTATCACAAGCCCATGTTCATTACCAGCCCAAATCCTCAATCACAGCGCTCTAGTGGTTTACGGGCAAATTAGCGTAGCTCTCCGACTTGCAGTGGGGCTCGCTTACCAAGTACCAGACAAACTCAGCATCACAGACTGCTGATGGAGCCTACTTCCTAACCTTCTCTCCACATCACCAAAAAGAGTGGTTTCCACAGAGCAAATTAACTCCAGCACAGTACTAACATGACTGCTTGTGGTATCTGAACTAAGCCACATACAACAGGTGAAATAAAAAGGACTGCAAATTCACCCACACTTCAAGACAAAGTACAGGTAATTACACTATTTATTCTGTTTCATGTAATTTCAAATGTCTGGAAGTCTAGATGCAGCCAAAGAAGCAAGTACGGGTTGCACAGAAAGAGTTTCACGTGCAAAGTGAGTCTGTATAATCAGCACCTTGGTGTTATTTGTTTTCCTGTACAGATGAACGAACGAGTTCTGACAAAATAAGAATACCAGCATTTCTCAACAAGGCTTTACAGGCTCTCAAAGTCTCTCTGGCTATCCTGCCATTACCCACCAGCTACACACAGCACGCTCGTGCCTCTTCCAGCATCGTGTTAGCATAGCAGAGGGAAAAGAGAACAACAAAAGTGTTTCCTGGTGTCCTCCACTTGGACATCTACATGGCTACAGCAATACAAAGAAACAATTTTTGTATCTTACCCATGACCAATAGTCTCTCTCACTCTCTTTTGTCATATCTGTTCTCTTCTTCTAAGACTTTAGAAATTGGAGAAATAAGATTTTTCTTTATAAAGTACTTCTTCTTGTCTCTCTACCCCCACACTTAAGAGTGAAGGTCAAAAACAGACGACCAGTGGTGCAACCACAGAGTGAACTTCTTTCTGATGGAGACAACATGGCTGTAAGACCTGATGGTGCAGGTATTTTTTTCATCTTGACTAGTGAACCAAACTCTCAGGCACTTTTTAGAAATATTCATTCCATTGCAGACCCTATGATGCATTCATCCATGTATCACAGGTGCTCCATGGAAGTGACTTTGTGAAGAGCCTGTGAAACTTCTAGCTTTAAAATGCCATTCCACCCAAGGACACAGACATCAAGTGTATGTGTGCGTCATCTGTATCCATACCAGACACCAAAACATTGCGTGCTGCTTTTTAATTGCATTATCTAAACAGAGTATACTGCAAAACCAGCACCCTGACCACTTTGCTTTCAAGTCTGATTAAATTCTGAAGCTCTTCAGGACTTTTCCTGTTCTGAAGGGTATTGGACACTGCAGC